TAGAGAGAGAGAGACTGTTATTNATTGAAGAGAGAGAGAGAGAGAGAGTTTGTTAATGGAAAGCTAGACTTTGTGAAGTGATTCATGAGGGAGAGCTAGAGTTTTTGTAGAGAGAGAAAGAGAGAGGGGCTGTTATTTCATTTGAGAGAGAGAACGAGAGAGGGAGTGTTATTTCAATTAAGAAAGCTTCATAATCTCCCATGGTTTGTCAGAGAGAAAAAGGAAGGCACATGACCCCATTCCCATGGTTTTTCTTAGAGAGAGAAAAGGAGGCCCATGACATGACCTCATTCGCAGGGCAGGGCAAGGTTTTTCTTATTCTTAGAGAGAGAAAAAGAGGAGAGAGAGAGAAAGAGAAAGAGGGGGAGGGGGACACGACGAGCAAACTCGCATTTCACCAAGAGGCAAGACTCGGCCTTCCACGTGGCGCATTACTCGACCAATTGTCAACGCTCCTACATCTAATCTTGCATTTTCCTCGTCCACGTCATCAGCCGAGCTGCCACGCCGCAGATTATTCCTGGAATATCCCATTTTAAAGGAAGGCATAACCCTTTGGAATATTCTCTCACAAATCATTTATTCCAATTTTATCGTAAAAGTAAAAGGGCGGCAAAGGAGGGCAATATTTAAAAGGAAAAAGTTTATATAGAGCCGAGGCTCTAAATAATCAAATTAGAGCCCACTTAAAAAATTTCTTTAGAACAACTTCTTTTGATGCGAAAATATTTTTAAATTGATCATGACATCAAGATGCATAGACATTAGAAACAAATAAATTTCAAATTTAAAAAATAGTGCATCTTGTAATGGATTTTTGGACCATCAATTTTTAAAATTTTTAAATTTTTATAGATCTGCTTGATCTACACTATTTTTGAAGCTTTAAATTTTATAATAAAATAGAAAAATATATTTGAAGGTTATCATAAATATTTCAAATATTAAAACCATATTTCTCAATACTATTTGAAAGTGCGCCTTATTTTGATTGGTTAGAGCCTCGGCTCTATACAACCACACCCATACTAAAAGTAATTTATTTTTCTTTTATTTAATCGAGACTGATAATTTTAAGGGACGTTACCCCTTTAAAAAGCAGTTGAAATCGGATGGCTCTGTCCTGAAAGTCTCGAGGGAGAGAGAGTTGCCGTTTCGAACTCTCATGGATATTGAGGTATGCTTGTTGAATTTTGTATTTTGCGAATTAATTTGAGCGTTTTTGCGATTGGAAGGTGCCTTAATTTGGAGAAAAAAGGGTTGTTTGTTGATTTTCCTGGTGATTGATGGTGAATAATGGCTGACTTCGTGTAATAAATTTGAAGATGAGTGGTGGGTTCAGTTCAAAGTCTCTGATTTCTTCAGTTTTTCTTGTTTGTGATGAGAATTCAGATGATTATCCTGGATTGTTGTTGGGTTTTTTGGATTTCTGAGAAGAAATGGCTTTTTCCATTTGTTTGATTCTTTTTGCTTGAAAATTTGCGAAAATAACGGTTTTTAAATCGTTTTCTGAAATTTGTGTGAAGGATTTCTTCTCCCTTTTTTTTTTATAGAAATTTCCTATCTGCTGGAATATATTTGTCCTTTTAATTTTCCATCTTTTGGAATCCTCTCTGGATTATTTGGGTTGAGAAAGGATGCTATTAAAATGTTTGGTTTTTTTTTATTGTGATTTTTTTTTTCTGAATTACTTTTTTTCTTTTTTTGGAGCCTATGTGTAAAGTAAATACTCATTTATCATGAATTTAGTGCTCATTTATCAGGAACTTAGTTGCCCAAACTTGTGGTTGAAGACTGTTTCTGTTAAAAAATGGTCTCTTGCTTTTTTATTTTCGCTTTGTATTTTGTGCTGGAAAACGCATTTCCATTTAGCCCTTTTCCTGGATTTTTTTTTTTTTTTTACAGTGAATTTTTTAGAAGAAAGTTTGTTTTTCTTCAGTTGGGTATGTAGAGAAAACTGACTTCACTTTGTTCTGCTGGATTCTCTGGCAAAAACAGTTTTCTTTTTTTTTTTCATTTTTTAGAATCTTTAAAAAATTTCTTTCATCCTCAAGGTCTCCATCTCTGTTTCTGTTTTTTATTGCTATTATATTTTGGGTAAGTTTTTTTTCTTCCAATTTTCTTAGTTTTAAATTCTTTTTATGAAGAATTTCAGTCTATAAATTTGGGTATTTTTTAAAAATTTCCTATCTATGAGAGATTAGGGTTTGGTACACTTAGATGGAGGAAGGAGACCACATTGAGGAACCCGGGTACAATAGGGGCATTTTGGTCATTTCAGAAATTTCTGTCTACTTGAACAGAGCCCGGCCATGGACTCTTACCAGCTTCGTTAAGAAATGGCAGGGGTATTTTGGTTATTTCCAGAAAGTCATGGATGCCTTTTTTTAAGGGGCACTTTAGTCCTTTTTAGCCAATTTGGCTCACACTTGTCATTTTGAAGATTGCCAAGGGTACATTGGTCATATAGAATCCACATTCATTGGCCATGTGCTGTGAGACCAAAGTCGGTGTATTTTGGTCATTTGAGGAAGAAGCGGATTGAGGAACGCTAGGGGAAATTATTTTTACCATTTGTTGAAGTTAAAATATTAGTTTTTACTGTTCTTGATTGATTTAAGTGTGAGCATTATATGAAAAACTACAATAATTGCCTATACAAAAACTTTCCTTACCAATTACCACATCATTTGCTTTTCTGAATTTGTGTGAGTCTGCAATGGGCCTGGCGGCCCGGCCCAAAACTTAGGGTTTGCTTTTCTTCTTTTTTTTCCTATAGCACGGACCGGCAGTGATAGGACTAAGGCCATACTTGCACCACCAGGACCTCTATGGCCCTGTGCCCAGCCGGGGCCGGACTTGGGGCATAGCCCTATAGGGATTGGGGCCAATACTGTCCCTGCCCAGGCCTGGGCCATTGCCAGCCCTAGGAGGAAAGTAGTCTAAATGTACAAGTTGTTAACTCCACAAAAGAATCAAACCAAGAATTGAATACTAAATTAATTATAAATGGTTCACTGATCACATGGAGATTGCGTCTTCACAACACAAGTTAACCTTTCAACAAGATAGCTCCTTAAGAATTAAGGATCCTATACCATAGGACTATTTATTTTTTAGTACAATGAAGTCACAATTATTCCTAATCATCAAGATGTGAAATCTGGCGGTTTGAGGGGTGCTACAAAGTTAAAAAATAATTTTGGGAATTTGAACCCCCATCAATGATACACTTCTAACTACCCAATTTCACACTAAAGATAAAAGAGTAATTGTGACCTCTTGCCAAAAAGTAAATAGTTTTATTATTCCTAATTTTTGGAATTTGCCATTCCGACTAGGTCACCTTTTTTAGAAAATGATGCTTAGGAGGACCTTTGTTCCATCTCTTGGTTATAAGAACAACCATTTTTAGATTAGGATTTCACAAATGCTTCAAACTCTATCTCACCCATATCAATCCTACAAATCTAGGATTCATTCACACCTCTTTCTCCATTGCCAATCCAATTAGAAAATCCTAGTCCGAGTCCTTCCATCCACAAGGGTCGGAGTTCTTAATTTCTTATTACGTGGTTATCCCCTGCCTGTTTATCTTCTAATTCTTTTTTATTTTTTGTGACATTCCCTCAATATAGATTCATTGTACTGTTTATCTATGGCATTGTTGGCCTAGTTTCTGTCAAATTTGCTCTCTCTCTCTCTCTCTCTCTCCAATAAAACAGTATTGACAAGTGTCATATATTAGCACAAGGGCAAGCTTTCTATGTTTCCCCTACAATATAAAACTTATATATTTCCCCTTATCCAACCCGCCTTTCTGAATGGAGGGCTAAGATTGACCCAATCATAATGTCACAATAGTGAAACATCTCTCTCTCTCTCTCCAATAAAACAGTATTGACAAGTGTCATATATTAGCACAAGGGCAAGCTTTCTATGTTTCCCCTACAATATAAAACTTATATATTTCCCCTTATCCAACCCGCCTTTCTGAATGGAGGGCTAAGATTGCCCCAATCATAATGTCACAATAGTGAAACATGTGATCTTTAGATGAAGTTCTAGATTCAGGTCTTGGATTTGATTTTTCTTTTGGGGTTTCCTAGGTGTAATTTGTTAGTGTAGTTTACAAGCAATAAAGTCTTTTTTCTTTCTTCCGCTTCAGATTGTTGCTCTCAAATTCTTATTATCTATCAGTCCCACCGGCATTGTAATTTCATCTTGTCCCTGTTTCATTTCTATTTATGATTGCTTGTCCTCCTTTGTTTTTGAGTTCTTCATATTCAACTTCCATTGATTTTCATGCAATTATATAAGAAGCTAACCTACCTTCTTCTCTTTTGGCAGGTATGCCTCTGATTCAAATCTGAAACCGAAGAGTTGAGGCGACGCTCAAGCTTCAATTTGACCTCCATGATCATGAAAGAGCTATAAATTTGGGTTTCTAGGATTTTCAACCATAGTCTTGAGAATGGGTTCACTAAACCATGAGAGTGGAAAACCCCCTGCAATCAAACTCGTAGAATCAATCAAGAAGTCCACTCTCAGCAAAAGAACTTACCAAGCAACAGTCTTAATTGTGACATTTTTAGCCTATGCAAGCTATCATGCATCGAGAAAAACGACAAGCATAGTCAAGAGTGCTCTTGACCCCGGATCATCAGAATTGAGTCACTCTCACGTCTCATGGCCTGGAAATAAATTTCTGAAGATGACCAACAATGCACTTGGTTCGAGGCTTACAAGTGGCTGGGCCCCCTTCAATGGTGATAACGGTACTGCCCTTTTAGGAGAGCTTGACCTTGCCTTCTTGTCTTTCTATGCAATGGGTATGTACTTTGCGGGTCATTTAGGCGATCGATTAGACCTCCGAATCTTTCTTTCTTTAGGTATGATAGGAACAGGGTTTTTTACAGCTTTATTTGGACTCGGTTATTGGTTAAACATCCATAGCTTCATTTTTTTTCTAGTTGTTCAAATGTTGGCCGGTCTATTTCAGTCCACTGGTTGGCCTTCTGTTATGGCTGTAATGGGAAAATGGTTTGGGAAGAAGAAAAGAGGATTGATAATGGGGATTTGGAATGCCCACACATCAGTTGGAAACATATCGGGCTCTCTTATGGCTTCAGCAATGTTGAATTATGGGTGGGGTTGGTCTTTCGTGGTGCCTGGTTTAGTTATCAGTTTTGTTGGTTTGTTGGTGTTTCTCTTTCTATCTGTTAGTCCTGAAGTGGTGGATGTTGGAGTGGAGGATAGAAAAAGTGATGGGTCTGTTGACGTGCTGAAAAAGGGGCAGGTTTCAGAGCCATTATTGGGAGAAGTTGCAGGTCAAGAGAGAAGTAATGGAAGAGCAGTGGGGTTTATCGAGGCGTGGAAGATACCTGGAGTTGCACCTTTTGCTTTGTGCCTGTTCTTCTCCAAGCTTGTGGCCTATACATTCCTTTACTGGTTGCCATTCTATATCAGTAGAACAGGTAAGCTCTCTAGTCATGCATTTTCTTACACATCAGTAGTGTCTCATGCTTGGTGGTCACAAAGTTGGGCTTAGGCCATATTTGGGCTTAAGGCCAAATTTTCATAGATTGTTCGCAAAAGGAGTCTCTCTCTTTGTATATAAAAACAGACATTCCACCTTGCAGAGATTGGCGGCCAGTACCTCTCTGACGAGACCGCCGGGAACCTCTCGACCATCTTTGATGTGGGTGGTGTTGTCGGGGGCATCCTTGCTGGCCACATATCCGACCGCCTCAATGCCCGTGCGATCACCGCCGCTACCTTCACATACTGCGCAATCCCAGCTCTGTTCTTTTATAGAGTATATGGAGATATTTCTCTGTATCTCAATGCCATCCTTATGTTCATTGCTGGGGCCTTTGTTAATGGTCCCTATGCTCTTATAACAACTGCCGTTTCGGCTGATTTAGGCACTGTCGGCGGGGGCCCACGTGCTTTGGCAACAGTGACAGCTATAATCGACGGGACAGGTTCGGTGGGCGCAGCATTGGGGCCTTTGCTCACTGGGTACATATCGGCAAAGAGTTGGAATGGTGTTTTTATGATGCTTATGGTGGCAGCCTTAGTGGCGGGACTTTTGTTGACGAGGTTGGTGATGGCGGAGGTGTCGGCCAAGATTGAGAGGGCGCAGCAATCACAGCCAGTAGAGACGGCATGGGTCTAGAAGCTTTTCCTTTTTTTTCATTTTCTTTTGATTTGGTGAGAAAGATGGGGGTCGGTTCTGGGTTTTAGCCATTTTGGTTACGGGGGCTTTTATATCATTCCTTTTTTTTTTCTCTCTTTTTTTTTCTTGTATTTTTTATTTTGGTGGTGTAATTGAGATGGGTGGTGAAGGTGGGTTGAAGAGGCATAGAAGGGAGGGTGAATAGAACTAAAGACGTGATGTTGTGGTATATTGTCACCCTGATCACCAATGCCTTGAGATCGTTGTTAGAGGGGTGGTATTCTTAATTGTACATAGTATGGGTTTCTTGTGTGTCAGTTTTGTTAGTACCTGGGATTTGAAGTCATGGTGTTGGGACCCCTTGTGGCAGTTACAAATCCCATTGAAATATATATATGTTCCATTTCTCCTCCTCCTGAATTTGTATCACATGGAGGCCTGTAACTCATGGGCCGATGGAAAGACTTTTGTATTGTACTAAACCCGTTATCAGAAACAATTGGGGTGGCAGCTTAATCCCCTTCTTAAACTTCTTTCTTTGGAAATTTAAACTTATTTCTGTAAACTTTTTCAATAGAAATTAGATTCTTTAAAATTTAAACTTCTTTCTTTCGGAGTAGTATAACTTAAAGTTGTTCTATCCAATATGCCAATGTACTATATATCTTTGTTTAAGATGCATATATCTTTGTTTAAGATGCCTAACAAGGTTGTAAACAGATTAGAAGGTTTGAGGCGAAGATTTTTTTGGGGTGGATCTGATGAAAAAAAGAAACACAATTTGGTCAAATGGTCAAAAGCATGTACTCTATCAAGTGATGGGGGTATGGGGATAAAAAGTTTGAAACTCATGAATAGTATATTACTTATCAAGTGGTGGTGGAGATGAATACCGGAAAAAAATCAATTGTGGAGGAAAATTTTTGGTGAAAAATATGGATAAGATACTAGTTTGGAATTGGTTGATTAAGGGCCAGCACAAAGGGTATTTTGTATATTTGGAAAGGTATCTTGGCACATAGGATATGTTTCTTAGCAATTCGAGAAATATTGTAGGGAAGGGTGTCACTATAAAGTTTTGCATCCAAAATGGATTGGGGAATATGATTTAAAATCCTAGGTTCCCAACTTGTTTGCTAAAACAAATACAAAGACTTGTTTGATCAGTGAGATGGTGGATGGAAAAGGTTTTTCCTTGGAATGTTTCCTGCTTATATAGAAGGGTTAATGAAGTTCTAATGGATACATGGAGTGTTTAAATGTTTTGAAAGATGTTTTTTATTGTCCAAATAAACAAGACAAAGTTGTTTGGGAACCAAGTAGAACTGGAGCTTTTTCTGTAAGCTCAGCTTACAAGTTATTGTTTGAAGATAGAGTAAGATGGTCTGGCAAAGATGCAGGTAAAGATCTGTGCTTGGTTGTGGTTAGTTAAATTGTGAAGGATCCTTTCATCCTTACCATAAAGATGGTCGGATAAAGATGCAGGTAAATTATGGAATTGGTGTGTTCCTTTGAAGATTTGTGCTTGGTTGTGGTTAGTTAAATTGCGAAGTATCCTTACCATTGATATGTTGACGAAAAAAGGGTATATTCTTGTAAATATGTGCATTGTGTGTAAAAAGGATGTTGAATCCATTGAGCATATGTTTTTGCAGTGTGCTTATACTAAAGCTATATGGTGTTGGGTAGTAGCATGGATGGGCTTAAATGATACACACCCTGTTGGAATTGGTAGTCTTTTGGGGGATTGGTCAATAACAGGGATAAGTAAGAAAAGCAAAATTATTTGAAAAATTGTAAAAACGATGGTGATGTGGGAGAATTGGAAAGCAACGAATAGGATAAGCTTTGATAATAAGAGTTTATCTCAATGTGAATTGATAGAAAAGATTTGTGTAACTGTAGCAGAGATCGTAAGCATTAACATGGTGGGGTGTTTCAAGATTGGATATAATGTATAATCTTTAATTTGTTAATGAATGAGAAGTCTGATAAAAAAATCAGGATAGGATTATGGAAATGTCTTAAGAATGGGTGGGTTAAACTTAATTTCAATAGATGTTCTTTGGGAAATCCTGGTCAGGGAGGTATTGCTAGGGATTGGGAAGGCAAAGTGTCGCTGAAATTTCATGGTTCAGTAGGTGCGGTGACTGCAAATGAAGCAGAGCTTCGTGGGGTATTACAAGGAGTTAAATTGGTAAAAGATAGGAACAAAACCTGTGGAAATAGAATGAGATTCGATGAATATTGTGAAATTCTTAAACAAAGAAGCAGAATATCTATAGAAATTCCATAGCCTGATTGCTAGAGTGAATGCTTACTATTTGGAATTTGAATATACTATTAAGCATGTTTATAGGGAAAGTAATATGGAGGCCTATGGTCTTGCTAAGATGGGAGTTTATAGGGAAAGTAATATGGAGGCAGATTGTCTTGCAAAGATGGGGGTGACAATAAACAATTTGGTTGTTGAGAAGTTTGTTTAGGCTTTGTTTCTTTGCTGTAAGTTTTTTTGTTATGTTTTGAGTAGTTTGTTTTTGACAGAAATAGTGTAATTGTTTGACTGTTTTTCTTGAATATATAAAACAGGTGACTTTTCTCCCCAAAAAAAAAAAAACCATGGTGTTTGATTGATTATTGCAAAGAATTTTTTTCACGATAAGTTGCAGGAAACTGAGCTTTTGGGGGTATACTTTCCTCTGGTTAAATGAAAGTGATGGGGGCTTGCCCTTAATTAGTCTTGTGATTATTGCTCTTGTTGGAGTACCAATTTTTGTCATTTGAGTCTCGGGGGCGTAGTTGAGTCTCAGGGGCTCAACTACGCCCACAAGGCTAATCATTTGGAATTTCTTGGTGAGATAAGACTTCTTTTTTTCTTTTTTTGTACAGAAAAGAGCAGGGGGGGCTGCAAAATTGGGGCCTTATATAAAAAAAGATTTCTTTCTGTTGGAGAATTCTTCGAAAGCCGAAAGATCCATGCTTCTTCTCCCTTGGACAAAAAGCAAATCTAAGATCAATTTTAGGAATATAACATGTTCAAAACATAGGCTTTGATAAAAGAGAATCCCCTTATCGCACCCTATGCACTTGAAAAAAATGACTGTCTAATTCTTAGAGGGGGATTGAACAAAGTCTGTCCAATTCTTAGAAGGAGATTGAACAAAGACGGTCCAATACTTAGAGGGTGAAATCTAAATGTTTTTAAAAACTAAAATTCAATTATTTTTTTAAAATAATCATTCAATGATTCGCCAAATTCCAGATTAGCAATGGTCTCCTAACCAAGGGGAAAATATCCAACAGGAATACAACATGCGCACTCTTTTTGAAATTTAGAACCATAATGGGAAAAGTTTAGGAAAGCTCCACCCTATTGAGAAGAAGAAAACGATGGACTTCAGTCGGAACTGGTCAAGTTTGTACGGAGGAACTGTCAACCAATCTATCAAGAGTACAGACTTGCGGTGTCGCACCAATTTACTCATCTCAAATTTCCCAACGGATTAATTTTACAAATTTGTGACTAATTAGAGTTAAACGAAGTAGCGATGTGCTTCTATAGTCTTAGATAAGTGTTGCATTCCAACAAAATTGAAGTGAAAATTCTATCAGAAAACTGTTAGATCAATCATACCTTATAAAACGGAATTTTGGACAATTAAAAAATAACATATCCATAAAATGAACATAGTTGAGATGAAAATGTTGAGATTAATTAATGACAAAACTGCATTAAGACTCATAATGACATTTTTCCATAAAACTTAAAAGGTAAGCTTTAATAGGCAATAAAATAAAAAATTTAAAGGTACAGCATCAATTTATAACAATACCAATTATAAATAGTGATTTAATTTAAGTAAAAAGCTCCAAAAAAACAACCGTGACTAAAAAGTAGTTCCCATGACATGATTGAAGGTACAATCCTTAGTAACTTAGTAACTAACATAACATAGATGGAAGTAGTTAAAAAAATATGGTTCCCTATGATGGTACAATCCTTGGTAGAGCGGAATGTCTAAACAGAATAGATCCAAAATAACTTAGATGAAAAAAGGTGGGTGATGATGATAATGATGACTACCCCATACAGGAATGGAAACATTAAAAGTTGAAATAACTCATTTGCTTGATTTGTACCTTTCCACATGGTTATCTACATGTACAAAAAAAACAAAACAAATAAAAAAGAAAGAAACAAAAAAGGGGAAAATAAAGATTGCCAAGAACCCTAACTCTTCTTGTTAGAAGACTGAGGAAACATGACAAACGAAAATAGAAAGTATATATATATATATCGAGAGAGAGAGAGAGAGAGAGAGAGAGATTCTGTTATCTCCAAGGAAAAAAGACTTAAAAACAATTCCAAAAGTTAAACAATAAACTGAGGACAGTCCTCAACAAGCAATAAATGCACACAAACATCATGCCAACTTCTTCAATAATACATAAAACCCATCATTTGATGAAAAATACCAGATACTCATTCTTGGCACAATCATCAATCCTGGCCTGGCCTGCAAAGACTGCCGACACCAATACATAACATTAACAATAACACATTCCTCTTAATCTCATCTCCGCATCAGAAATCCAAGAAGGATGCCGAATAGCGCAACCACAAAGGCATACAAGTATGGGAAGCCGCCACGCCTTTTGCTCGCCTCTCTCCTCAATAACTCCTGGGTAACAGGACAAATAACATGACAATGGCATCCCTTGCCGGATTCAAATAAGAGTGACACAAACACCTCCCTCCCTCTCTCTCTCTCTCTCTCTCTGCTCAGTTCCACATAAAAATACACAAAAAAAGTACAAGAACATTCCACAGAAAAACAGTACAAAAATATACAGATTTTGCAAGAAAACAAATACGAATGTGAATGTATGTAGATGCAAGATGCATATCTGACACACTTCATGCAAACCACATGAAGCATAAGTGCATTTTCGATGCAAGTCTCACATGTCTCTAATGTGCACGTGTGTGTGTGCACGCGTCAGGTATACCAATATGAACATTTACCATTCTGAATATATATTTCATGGCCACAAAAAGTACGATACCAGGCACATTCATGAATGGAATTAACTGATTATATGGTAAAGCCAAATGTACAATATTTAAATAGGATGGTCCCCCTAAGGTAAAGAATATAATAGTGTCTTCATATCCCATCTCCACCATCTGTTCAGTGGAGATTGGTGACTAAAACTTTAAATAAAAAAAGGGATTAAAATGACTACACAATCCCCAAAAGGAAGCAAGGCAACAGTGTTATTCCACAGATCGACTGGCGGGAAACAAAGGTGTTTTCATCCCTTGACTGGCGGGAAAACTGCAGATCTCAAGCTCTGACCAAAATGGCTGGAAAATGAGAGGAGGATTCCATCATGGTTCTCCAACAGGAGGAACAAGAACTCTCCCCAAAAACGCTGGTGGCTGATGACCTATGGTTTTCTGTAGTCCATTGGATAGAAGTATAATTTCCATAAAATTGTTCTGGTTCATCCACAATTGATGCAATTTGCTCATATTTTGGGGGTAAGTAAGACTAGCCAATGGTATCCTTATCCAGTTCTTGAGAAGAAATGGCATCAAAGGAGGAGAAAGATTTTGACCGAAATGAAGCCAATAATGGATGTCTCAATAACCCAAAAAAGCAAGGTTATAATGCAAATAACCTTCGATTATTCCATTGCATTCATTCTAAGGACCTCAAGAGGGTTTTCAAGAGTCTACCATTAAAGATGAACTCCAGGAAAAGGACTTCAAGGGAATATTATAATCACTATGCTACCTAAAAACTGATATCACATCACCAGTAAGAAACAAATGAAAAACCAAAAACTTCAAGAAATGGCAGCAAGAAATACTGCTATTTGTAATAAAATCTCAAGAACATAACAGGCTTCACTTGAAGATATGGTGGGTCTACATAGCTCCACTGTATATAAAATAAAACCCTAATGAGTATAATGAGGACTAAGACATGGGTCCATGAGACAAGTAGTCAGCGACTATACATGGACCCAGCGACTATGTTAATCAAAAACCATCCACCATAGAATTCATAAGATATATATATATATATATATAGTACTAAATGTTCAAATGTGCAACAAGGCAGAAACATAGGGCAACAACAGGCATATATGCACTGGTTGCAAAGCCAATGAGGCCACCCACATAGATATACATACATACATATGTACATACATATATATAGAGAGAGGGACAGAGAGAGAAGAGAGAGAAGAGAGAGGGGTTGATTCCAATTAATATTCCCAAAAGAAAAAACACGTCGAATATAATGAATGATATTAAGAAACATACCAGTTCTTGACGTAACAAGCTATTCTGTTGAATCGCTGAATTCTTCTCTTCAGTCAGCTTCGATATCACAGATGATGACTGCGGCAGTATACAGTCTTAGCCAGTAGATAAATAATATTATAAGCAATAAAATCATGTTAGAAAATATGGGCAAAGAATTCTACAGTCCAATGGACTATGGAAAGCCAAAGTCCACAAGGGTCATCACCATCCAATAAAATGATAGAAAGTGCAGGTGAGGGGTACAACATAGGGAAAAGTACTCTGGGGGTGGGTCCCAATCTCTCCTCAATGCTGCCCATCATTTCATTGTATCGCAGATGAACCTAATGTATTATGGTTCTGCATAGTCCATTGGACTATATTATACTTTCCAAAGTACATGCATTACTTGGTGAATCATTCAAATGAACCATAATAGCTTTTACCACAAAATGCTACCAAGCACACACCATATCCCATTTCCAGAATCTCAGATGTGTTCAATAAGTAAAAACAAAAGTATATAATCTGATAGCTAAGGAAAAACCATAAACCATTGGGTCATCACTGTCACTTGAGCTGAGGGAACAGTAATAGGATCCATCTCTAAGTCATATCTTTTGGTGAGTCCCACTATCTTTTCTTTTCTTTTTCCTTTTTTTTTTTGAATACGAGTCCCACTATCTTTTCATCCACACTAAGCGTTTAAATGGGGATGGATATGAGCCTATGGGCTATGGCTTTCCATAGTCCATTGGATAATTGATTACTCTCCTTAAAAAGATTTTCTTACAGTCCTTAAAAACATGACTAAATACATTACAATTCCAAACATCCAGGCAAAAACACAAAACTCATCAACTCATTATGAACAGAAGCACATGTTCTCTTTTAGAAGAAAAATGTCGAAGCACGTTTACAGTATATAACAAGCACCAATATAACATCAAACAATTTCTTTGATGTTACTCAAACATCCATGCTACATTTTTCATTCTCATGAAAGCATTTGGAATGCTCGGTATACCTTTAATAAGGTAAGTACAAAGATTGTTCATTCCACTCATCAACAAAACATGTAGATAAAAATCATCACCTGTAACTTGGACATCTACGTCCTCGAGGCATACAATTCAACCATTGTTTAGCAGTAACTTACAAGTCCCATTACCTAGCGCATGAACTTAATTTGATATGCTAGACTTTGGCGAGTGTTCCCATGAGGCTTATTGTTAGTACAACTTTGTGCTTCGGAATGCATGTTCATTTCTCATTTTAATACTTGTATAATGGGGAAAAGGAGGGTAATATTTTCATAAATAGTGAATGGTTTTTCCTGGAAAGTACATAATAACATCCATTGGACATATACAAAACGTTAATGATGCAAACCTGTCACATTAAGGTGCACTACAGCTAGTGGTCTTTCAATCCGATAAAATTTACTTTTAAGTGCATGTCCTTATCAAAGGGATATATTGGACAGCCATCTCAGAAATTCATCTTGGAAATAATGAAAAGAGATATGGTCACTTATAGTCTAACAAAGGGCAAGGCCCTTGATAGAGCGGGATAGCAAAATAGGATTCATGTAGCCGACCCCAAATAGGTGGTATAATGCTCAGATGATGATGATGATAATGATTAGCATCTCGCAAATTCATCTCACCTCATCATCTTTCCTAATGAATATAAAAGTATGATATCAATGAATATTGGAAAGAAATATGCATGAATCTGCTTATGGATGTGCCAAGATTAAATGTAAATTTTAATGAGGAAAAATTTAGAACCTAGGGTTTCTATTTATCAACAAAACATACAGTAAGTTCATCTAGTCTCCGAGGCCTCTGTTATTTATATAAGGAAAAAGTTTATATAAGGATGCAACCTTATAATGGAACTACGGATGCACCTAAAAAATCCATCGGAAAAGGTAGTTTTAATGTTGAAAAACCCTTTCATTGATCATCTCGACATCGAGATGCATGACCATGAAAAATAAAAAGATTTTAAGTCTCAGAAATGGTGCATTTTACAACATATTATCTAAACCGTCCATTTTCAAGATTTTCTTATGTTTATAGATCTACTTGATTTTAACCATTGTTTATATTTAAAATTTTATAATTAGATATAAAAATAGATTTTGAGATAATTCTAAGAACATTTTACATCAAAATTATATACCATGATAAATTTTGATGGTGCACCTTACCTCTACACCTACGGATGCATCCGTATGCCAACTGCCCCCGTTATATAATACAAGAGGAAGAAGTAAAGTAACCCCACAACTAAACCATACAGTACAAACTGACTCAAGTTATTGGTAGTTCTCCTTATGTCTCAGCTCCAATCTCTATTTTTCTTATCCTTGATACCTAATATTAATGGGGAGATACATGTACCATCCAAAGGAAGAGATATTCTAAATGCACTTGTAGAAGCACTCAAGTAGCCAAAATGTAAAACACTTAAGAGGCCTCTTGTGTGATATTCTTTTGAGGAATGAAGAGAAAGAAAATGCCACAACATTTTCTATTAAGTAAAAAAAAAAATCAGTTTGACAGCCTTCAAGTTCTGGATGATGTGGCGAGGCAAACAATAGTTTCGAATCACAATGAAAAACTAACAAAAGCACTCTCAACATAAAATGGTATCACTAGATTAAACAAAAGACAAAAAACAAACACAAAGATCCCCCAAGGACAAATGAGAGGGGAAGAAACACACACAAAGTTTTAACTCTGTAGATACTACTGAATAAACATTTGTTTAAGATCAAGGAAGTCAATCAACACAAAAAACCAATTGCTGAAAGCATCACTATTTTAGACAAACGTAAGGTAGATGAATTGCACAAACTACCTAATGCTCAACTCTGACCATGATTTTGGGGGACCCCAAGTTCATTTGGGGTGGGTAGCTCAATTAAAGATGGCATGAGGGCATGAGCATACTTCGATTGTACAAAAAGATAAACAGGGTTTGGCATTGAGTCTCAAGTTTTCTTCTGCTCTTTCTCATGTCAGTAAAGATATAGACTAGCTAAAAAGATTCCATAATATACAGTGTTTCAAAAAATGTTGGGCGGCGCCTAGGCAGCCAAGGGTATCCGGCCCAATAGATCTAATGTCAAAATCTTGTAAAAAACCCTCTATAGACTTACAAAACCTCCAAAACTAAATCTCTCAATGGGTGATGTTTAGATCAATATCTCGTAGCTTTGATAAACCTTTCGATCCTATGAAAATCACAAAAATCTAGTTTTTTGAGGTTTTTCTCTCTCTAAAATGGGCTCTAATAGGGTTTAGATTGAAATAAACCTAAAACCCATCTTTTTTTCCCCTCTTAATTTTCTAAACGAACCTAAAAATGCCTCTCAAAGAGGGGCATTTCCGCCCCTGGGCGGGATGCATGACTTGGGTGGCCACCCAAGGCTAGGCGCTTGTCACCCGCCTAGGTGGATACCCACCACGGCCGCCTATTTTGGCTGCCGCCCTGGCCCTTTAGACTGCCTAAGGCGGCAGCCTAAGCACTAGGCAGTCCGCATTTTGGAACAATGCTAATCTCACATATGAGATATTTAAAATGAAAGAGGTGGAGCCAAGCTATTTGTATGTGCTAGGTGAAGCTAACAATGAGGTGGCCGCTTTCTCTGAAGCCCCTAAACCAAAGCTGCTCCCATGATTAAGATAATATTGACCTGTCCTAAACTTTTGTCCTTTCCTTCTTCTGGTCTTTTCGTTCACTTGCATTACTTTCTTTCCCCAACAGTCATTTTCTCCATATAAGGGCTACCCTTCAACTCTATTAACTACCTGAAACTAAAAAAAGAAAGTCCACCTCCACGATTAAGTTTGTGCATTAACCATGTCAGAAGTTTCTAATAACAAAAGCTTCAGATGGTCTGCAATATACTAATTTCGTTATATGGCCTTTCTAGGGCCCACAATGACATAGTTCAAATCACAGGGTCATGATTTCTGTAGCTCATTTGTGAATCCCTCCAAGATTGGACCCATTAAATGGTTATTCAGTCAAATATTGAATGAATTAACGCCCCTCTAAAATGAAATATATACAAGCAAGGTCGCACTATTCCTACTTGAGAATTCAAATAAATATACAAACGAACTGGGCTCAAAAAGACGAGGAAAAAATCAACTCGCTTTTATGCATTGGAAAGCCTCCAACTAAGTTTGGCATTTTTTATCTTTGAAAGCCTGTCAATAAAAATGTGCTTCAAGACCAATAGGAGAACCAATCACCCATACTGATGAGGAAGCATTCAATATTTCATATGATATCACAGGGCAAGTTGATCACTGCAAGTTTAATACCAATAGTAGCCCTTTCTTGAGTGCCTAAGAATTACAGATTTACATTGCATGCCGCAAGATGCAGAAAATTCCTCCCATTTACTGAACTAATTATCACAAATGAGTCTGTTTTTTTAATGTTTATTATTATAACAGCAATCCTTTCTAAATCAACAGAGAAATAACCACATCAAAAAAAATTTGTGATCCAATGAATAATTTTCAGAAAGAATGCAGTTCACAATGTACATCATAACAGGAAAAATAATAAGAAAGAAAAAAACCATATATTTTGCCCACAAAATCATCATAAGCTGGGATATATAAACAACATATCTATAAAGAGAAAGAGACAAAAGAAGGAAATTCCACATTATTGAACATTCTTGTCAATCGATCATGCAGTTAACCTAAATTTATCCATGGATAACATCATTCATAAACTTTACAGCAATGCATTATATGTCTTCAATCACCAAAAGATTGAACATCCAGGAGTTTTTGATATTCACGGAGTTTTTTCAACACATCGAAAGTTTTCAATGGCACATCAAATAAATCTCTAGTATGAATACATGAATGAAAGTGATGGTTAAAACCAATTTATGAAAAAAAAATTCATTAAACTGTTCAGACACAAGAGCATACTGCAAACAAGAATCACTGATTCGCAGATAGATAATCAAAAAAGTGAACTGTTAAATATAACCGGAATTGAACTTACGTCAGAATGTGTGTCCTTAAGTTCTGCATGGTGTCTTAGCACCTGCTGTAATAGTACAATAATAACGTAAGTGAATGCTGCAATTTCAAAGAAATTAATAGATGGCAAAACATTTATGAAGTGACTGTATTGCGCGTGTACAGGTGGCATACAAACACTATGTTAAATGCAGAGTCAACTGACCAGTGTCAACAGCAGTTTGTCAAGATGAAACATTCCTCCACTCAAATCCATACAACATCCGAGTAAAGGTTCATCTCAACCATCCATTAGTGACATCAGATTGGTCAGGACTACAAGTAGCACTGTTTGTTTGCTACACAAAGCATATCACACTTTTTCTTCAAAAGATACATGTTAATAAAGGCAATATGTAACACAGACATTTCGGTCATGACCATCCAATGAAATGATGGACACGAAGAAGAGAGTGGGATCCACTACTGCAAATTCAAGTCGGTCCTACAGTCCTACTAGCTCTCCATCAATATCCTCCAATTCACCTAATGAGCATAAATGACTATGGTTCTTCATACATTTATGCCTCTTCATAATCAATTTCCTACTACTTTCCCATATTAAAATTCAATTAATAAAGCATAGACCATTTCAAGTGGAAGTACCATGAACCAAATTTTATAAACTTACCGTTTCAAAAGCTGACCTCTGATGATTATTATCGGATAAAGAGGCTGTGGGTGAAGAGCCCTCTTCGGATCCTTCATGCACTGGAGATGGTGGCTTAGGTGGTGAGACATATAGAACCTTCAATTTGCATTCCTCCACAAGATTCCCGCTTTCTTTGTTGAACTGAAATTTTCGCAAACTCACATTAGAAATATCAAAATACAAAAAGAAGAAAAAGTTAAAAACCCCAGAATTTGCACCAGGAATGGATGATGGATCCACCTCCCTCCCTCCAGGAATGGATGATGGATCCACCTACCTCCCTCCCCTCCCCCACTCACTCCCTCCCTCAGGCGCGTGTTAAATCTCCATTTGTAGCATTAAAAACTTATTATTCATTAGCTAGCAACAAACAGCTAGAAAAAGGGAATCCATTTAACTTGAAAAGAAAACTGAAACCATCCTAGCTTACCATTTCAGGATTGACATCCTTTGTTGTAGCACCAGGACTTGCAATAACACTCTGAATGAGAAACTTGTCTTTGCATAACATATCAGGAGGAGCCTCACGCTGGGCTTGCATTGTCACTAAAAAATTTTATGACCCATAAAAAAACAAAAGTATAAGTCTAGGCCAAAATTTGTTAGAGAAAATTACAAGGGCAGGTAAGATTTTGTTTATAAACCACAATAAACAGCAAAAGACATGCCTACAACATCGCAGGTGCTCCTAGGCAAGACAATGCCAGTGTTGGGGCGCACACAGTACTTCTTTGGGTTTGTTGTTTTCACCTGCAAAACACATGAACCCAGATAACTACTAAACAAGAGAGAGAGAGAGAGACAAAGAGAGAGATAGAGAGAGTTCAAAACATGAAACCTGAACATGATTAAAGAGGGAACGAGAATGAGAATAATCTAACTTTTTTTTTTTTAATAAAGGTTAACTGAGAATAATCAACTATGTACATTCAGACAATGAGAAAGGCGAGGGAGAGGGAGGGAGTGAGGGAGAGATTTTGGAGGGGGGAGTGTGTGTGAGAAAGAGAAAGAAAGATAGCAATCTGACAAACCCATCGACAAAATTCTCCAAATAGCATTAAATGCCCAAAGGAAACACAAGCATGCAAGGAACAACTGGCAACAACATCAGAACAGTTTCTTGATTGATACAATTACATTAGAAACAGAAGACCAACAATAAAAGAAAAAATAACATAAACTTATAAAGGAGTTACCTTAAAAGCTACATGGTGTTCAGTCTTATTCAACAATTGAAGAGAACATGAGATCTGCTTCTTCAGTTCAACTGTTCCAGAAAAACAAATTCAACAGAGAAATGAGATTACTTCGAAAAGTACAAACCACGGAAACAAAAGAGCCGAAAAAGCTAAAACCATCCAAAAAAAAAGAAAAACACAAGGAATGAGAAAAACAGAAAGAAAAGGGGATGATCTCCAAGAAACCCATTGTTGAAGCTGTCAAGAACGACAAACAAATAACAAATAACTCTAGATGAGTAACTCAGAAAGAAGATGATGGCCACCCATAAAACTGTGAGTTAACATATCAGAATTAATTCAATCGCCAAAAATGGTAAGCTTTTTATAAAAGAAAAAAAACCTAAACAAGAAACGCAGAGATGGAAAATTTAAGCCTCATCAAAGGAAACTAGGGAACAGCATTTCCAATAAGACCAAAATGCTTTAAAAAAACCCATAAAAAGAACTTCAAAAGAATGAAAAAAAAAAAAAAAACAGACCATAAATGAACCTATCAAAGCACCAAACTAGAAACAACCACAGTATACCCTAGATCAGAAAATCAGAAGACAATGGGTACACCGAGAACTGTAAATTAACAAGATCACAGTGAATTCAATTGTAAAATATTGGAAACAATTCATGAGAGAGAAATAAACTAAACAAGAAACATTTATTATGGAAACTCCAGCTCATAGGAGAAAACCAGGTAATACCGTAACCATTAAAACCAAAGAAAGCCCATTAAAATAACCCATAAATATTTAGGTCCCATAAATATTTGGGTGGGTTTGAAAAAAAAAAAAAACCGACATCAAATCCCTCAATAAGCTGCCTATAAAAAAAACCCTCGATCAGAAACTCATAAATAACGTAAGTTCCCATAAAACTGTCAATTAACAAGATCACAACAACTTCAAACTCAAAAATTGAAAGAAATCAATGAAAAAGAAAAACACCGAACAAGAAAACCTACAAGGAAACTTAAGCTCGTCAGGTTGAATGTTGAGAAGGTCCCCAGTACTCATCTCTGTCTTCTTCAAAATCCTTCAAAATAAAAAAACTGAGATAATGGGTCTTCTTTCTCGACGAAAAGATTGAATTGGACAAAAACTCTGGTATGATTTCTGGTCTATTTCTTCTGCAAAAAAAGCTTAGCTCTAGAGAGAGAGAGAGCGATCTGGAGAAAAACGCAGTACACGAATTTAGATACGTGCTCTCTCTCTCTAGGTTTTGTCAATGATAAGTTGCCCTAATCTTACCCAAAATGACGAGAAGAAACTTATCCCTTCCTTCTACTATATGACCAAAAAGCCTGTTTTTTTTTAATTTGACCCTTTTGCGTCTAATTTATAAAATTGGAAAAAAAAAAAAAAAATCTACGGTGATTCATATGAACATAGCACTTGTATGGTCATGAGGTTTATCACCATCCAATAATTTGGTCGGTGGTGATAAAGGAAGAGTGCGATCTAGGTTAGGAGTTGTGATATGTTAAAGAATTCAAACATGACAACGGTATAATAATTCGATAGGATGACAATGCAATCGTTGTTATTGATCAAGAGAGAAATCCAGACAAAACTCATATATTGGGTACATTAACTCCGAAAATATTATGTTGATGGTGGGTTGTGGATGGCCCTTCAATGACTATGACCATGATCACATGAGGGATTCAGAAATTAGGACCTCAACTCAAGATGATTTTTCTTTCTTTTTTAGAAATATATGTTCTGGCATAAAACCCATGGGTCTTTCTCTCACATATATATATGCACACACCATGAATTACACCATTAATCTTTATATGTTTGTTACAAAGCTACAGTTCATCTCCACCATCCACATGGAGATGGATGGTGGATGGTGGATGCTCATTTGCGTGTGATTTACACATTATATGGTCACTGAGCTTAAAATTTAATTTAATTCATTCTTTTATAAACATTATATTCCTTCTAAATTTCATTGATAATGTGGTTAAACTCTTAGTGACACTTATCGGTATCGGAAATTAGCAGTGGAAAGTTTTATCGGGATATTATCATTTTTGTTTTTTATCAATAATTTACTTTAATAATAGTAAAAATGAATTCAAATTATACACAATTAAAAACATAAATGCGTAAAATATTTATAAGTGGTAAGGTTGACAAAAATTTATGATGTATAACAAAATTACAATACAAAAAATGATTACCCTTATTAAGGTTTTTAACTTACATACCAATTACATGAAAGATTTCTTCTATCTAGACAACCACCAAAAAACCTAAAATATCGCGATAAGTTGATTTTACCAAAATATTACTAAGAGTTGTTTTCAAAATTGTTGTCAACATTAAGAGTTTTTCATGATAAAAATAAAATAAAATAAATTTATTACATATAATTCTCACTATAGTTACTGCCAAATGGTAATTAATTGTAGTAAGTGTAGCCCAGGGGAGATGAATTGAGTGATTCCATGATCCATTAAAACATTGCTAAATCAATTAGGTTTATTTCAATCCACCAAAAAAAGTATAGTAAGTGTTTTCCAGGGAAGGTGAATTGAGTGATTCCATAATCCATTAAAACATTGCTAAATCAGTTAGGTTTATTTCAATGCACCGAAAAAACTATAGTAAGTGTAGCCCAGGGGTGATGAAATGAGTGATTCCATAATCCATTCAAACATTGCTAAATTAGTTAGGTTTGTTTCAATCTACCATCATCACTATTTCATCATCATTTTGACCTTTTTTCAATTAATTGGGGTTGGCTATTTCAATCTACCAAAAAAAACCTAAATAGGGCAGTAAATTGATTTTGCCAAAATATAATTAAAATTGTTATCAAATTAATATTTTTTCGTGATAAAATAAAAATAAAATAAATTTATCAGAGATAATTATCGATATAATTAATGTCAAACGGAAATCCATGGCAGTAAGTGTAACCTAGGGGAGGCGAACTAACTGATTTCGTAATCCACTAAAACATTGCTAAATCAGTTAGGTTCATTTCAATCTACCAAATAAACATAAAATATCGCGATAATTTGATTTTACCAAAATATTTATCAATATGAAGAGTTTTTCCATGATAAAAATAAATAAAACAAATTTATCAGAGATAATTATCACTATAATTAATGCCAAATAGCAATCCTTTGCAGTGATTGTAGCCTGGGGGGGATGAACTGACTCATTCCATAATCCATTATAACATTGCTAAATCAGTTAGCAGTTGGCAAATGCCGGACCACCAGGATACCATGACAAAAAAAAAAGGTTTAACTATAGTGGTCTAGGGAAAACCTTCAAGAAAACAAATACGGAATACAAGTAGGGGTGCTGTTTTACATATAAGACAATCTTCAAAATTAACAAACTTGAATGTAACAAGCTACAGTGTAAATCAATAGAGAAAGTTAACAGGTTTTTCATTGATAGAATGATATATACAATAGAAAAAGGAACAGGGTTGGGTGGTGGTGGTAGTATCCCCATACCAAGTTACCACGTTGTGATTTTCAATTAGCGAAAGAGTCGACACTTGTGCTACAATCGTTTTCTTCTCTGTTCTGTGCTTTTCTCTCTAGCCATCTTTTAGTTATACCTTTTTCATATTCTTAATGAAGAAGTTCCCTACTTTCAGAAAAAACAAAAAGCAAAAACAAAAAAACCAACCCAATTCAAGTCAATTGGAACTTAATTTTTAGTTACGATTTAGAACTGAACATTTAGGCTCCATGTCAGTTATCAGAACCATTGAGTTCTCAGTTAGTCATTGATATGGTAGAAAGGGACATGAACCAAATTAAGCCCATCACTTAAAAGTTTAAACCATTTTGAGTTTCTTTTACATCTCATTCCCGAACCAGGTCAAGTTTTAGTGAAACTACCGTTATAGTCTAGCACTACGACCACATGCACAGGCACAGAGACAATCAGATGGCGGTGAATAACTCGGTCTGCTCAAGATCCTGAAATAGACTATATACAAATAATGTTGACAGGGCATTTAAAATTGAAAACTTTTAGAGCTTCAAATCCTTTTTTTTTTTTATATGAAGATTAGGCAAGTGGTTTGCAAAAAATTTGGTCCTCAATCCATTGGAGCATACTGTAGTTTACTCCATTGGATAAATGACCCACCTAAGAGAATACTTGTTGATGTGAAATTTTGAAATTTACTCTAGAGTTCCTAATCCAAAACGTTCAGTATTTAGGACGTTATTTTTTTCAAATGCATGTTGATTGTCTGCAAATTTACTTTTCTTTTTTGAGTTTTTTCATTTAAAAAGTTGCAGTTAGGTTGAGAAAGTCATATCCCCAAGATTCGAAATCCTAAAAAATACTCTAAATAAACATTTACCCAAGGGCGTAAATATCTATTTAATAAGATATGCTCCAAGAAAGTAGATCGTTTGGCTAATATGATAGGGGAATCAGTGATCTCTTATATAATATGCTCCAAGAAAGCAAATCTTTTGGCTAAAATGATACGGAAATCAATGATCTACTTTGTAGAATTAAAGAAAATGGTTTGACAAGGTTGCAGTTCTATCAAAATAAGTAAAGTCTCACCTCGTAACTCATCAAAAATTACAATTCAAGCATTGGAAAACCTTTAAATGGATCATCTCGGCTTGAAAATTACGGTTGTGGAAAAAAAAAATAGATTTTAAGATCTAAAAATGGTGTATGTTATAATACATTATCTAGACCGTCCATTTCTCCCTAAAAATAAGTCTTCATAGATCCGCAAGATCTATACCATTTACTTAGTTTCAAATTTCAAATTTTATTTTCGACGTTGGAAATTGATTTTAAAGCTATCATGGAGAATTTCATTGCCGAACGTGCTTTCGCAAAGAGTATTTGAGGTGGGGCTTTATTTTGTTTTCATAAAGGCTACGCCTCTTAAAAACTTCATCCTAGAATTAAACCTCATGAACATCAAAATATAAAGAAATGTGCTGACAACTAACAATAAGTGTATAATATGGTCTCCCATTCATGCAAATTGAAGGCATGATCTTTGGATGGGTATTTTAGTATGACTAGATTAGGGCATTAGAGTCTTTATTGAAAAGGCATGGGCATTTTGAGTGGATAAATGAGTGAGTGGGCATTTTCCCACCTGCCATGACTTAATGCGATGGTAGGAGTAGCAGAAACTCAACCTTGTGTTGGATCCTTTCAGTGGAAGGGCCGCAATATGCTCACCTAAGGACCCCAATACTTTCATAAATTGCTAAAATGCTCAACTTTTTAAGTGAAATGACTAAAATAGCCTTTTTAAATAAATTGACCCTTTTTTTTTTTAATCACTAAAATAGCCTTTTTCTCATTTTTTTACCTTTTTTTTATTTTAATTTTTATTTATGGGGGCGGCTTTTCAATTTAGGGCTTCATATCTTCCTTGAGACTTCACTGTGTAAGACCATTCATTCTCAGACAGTTATCAATGACTCTGGTCCAACTCATACAGGGTCCCCACCCACGATGCAATCTCCACCGTTCAACTTTTGGTGGACAATTTATGCTCCTATTTTGTCAAATTTGGTGGAAAATATTGTATACACCAGACTTTTGGCTTGGGTGCGGTTTGTATAGAGCCGAGGCTCTAAACAACCAGAGTAAAGCGCGCTTTCAAATGGTGTCAAAAAAATGTGGTTTCAATACCGTAAATTTTTGTGGTATTCTTAAAAAATATTTTCATCTTTTATTATAAAATTTAAAGCGTTCAAAATAGTGTGGATCAAATAGATTTATGAAAACTTGAAAATTCACTGTCCAAAAATGCGTTACAAGATTCACTATTTTCAAAACTTCAAATCCATCTTTTTTCTCATGTTTATGCATCTTGATATGAAATGATCAATTTGATGATATTTGAGCATTAAAACAACCTCTTCTAGTGAAATTTTTGTGATGGGCTCTTATTCGATTGTTTAGAGCCTCGGCTCTATATAAACTTTTTCCTTTTGCATTTGATATGAGAAAAATCACATTATCCTCGACAGTCCCTGTCCGAATAACAGTACAACTATCCTTAACAGTCAAATGTGGAATGCATCAGAATTATCCATAGCTATCAGTTATGAAATGCACCACCACAATTAGACCCAGTTATCATATGTAAAATTGGGGCAATTGCTCAACATGAGTCTGAGAAAAATATTTTATTAGACGATTAGTACAGTTAATGACCCACATAATTTTACATCTAATGACTAAAAGTGATGGTGAATTTTTATAGCAAC